CAGAGGTTAGCTCCAACCCTAATCAAACACACCTGAACCAGCTAATCATTGTCTTCAAGACTACTAGAAGGCTACAGGCAGGTGAGTCATATCAGGGTTGGATCAAATCTCTGCAGGAAAGTGGCCTGGAAGCGCCAAGTTTGCCCATCACTGCTCTAATGCATTAATACTGTATGAAAGTATTTTCTGTGGCCACGAAAATATCCTTTCCTAGAGTTGATATGAACTTACACTGGATGTTCACTGGACGAACAGATTAGTTGAGGGCAATTAAATTCTGCTATAGTTACTACTGGCAACTGATATAAATAATTGTAATTAATCATAATTAATTGTAATTATTTATATACATTTCCCTTTTGAGCTAATTTGCTACATAGGCTAGATGTTGAAATAAGGAGACAAATAAAACCAAAAAAATTCACACATAAGATGAAATCAACAGATGCACAAGTAGGGTAGAGTGGGGTAAAACGCCCCCATGGCTTAATTACTGTAGTCACTCTGTTCTGAACATCAAATCCTTTGTTTTCCCATCAAATGTATTCAAACTAGTTGGTTGAATAAAAATATTTCGACCTTATATTTAAAAACAGTTAGCTAACAGTTAGTTAGCTAGCCAGTTAGCATCAGCTAAAAATATTTTTCAAATAGACAACTACAATTTTGTAAATCATAATTATTGATTATATTCTTTTTTCATTTTAAGCTAAAACTGCCTGTACTCTGACTTTGCTGTAAATGTTTAAACCAAATTTCTTTGTCAGACTGGGAGGCATTTTCCCCACTCTACTTTATCTTGGATGAGGCCCATTTGCATTTAGTATGCAGATGGTCACTGTGTCTTTATCTGAAGATAGTAAATTATAGTCATGAAAGTGTAAAATGAATGAAGCTTAATATCACAAAGAATAACAAATGAAAGAATGTCTGATCAAACACCTGCATTTTTCGAGATTACTGAATTTTGCGAATGGAATGAATAAAACCATTATCTAGCTAATAGCAAATTCGTGCCATACATGTGACATAACAACACCTTTTTACCAGAGTTAAAGGAATTCGTCAAAAAAAAAAAAGAGGACGTTAGTATGTGTCCAACAGTTCAGTAAACCGGCCACGATCATTGTATGATTAGTCATAATGCATGCATTGATGTCAATTAATTTTCTAATCTTCAGAAAGTTGCAGAGGCAGGTTGATGTGTTGAAAAAAATGGCCAGGTTTTGTAGAGATACTGTGAAATTAAATTCCAGGACTTTCCAGGCCTTTAAGCACTACTTTAAATAACTACGATCAGAGCCATATGCTATTTCACATTATAATGTTAACATAGGCTACTTGGTATGCACGTTTTGTATGTTAATGAAGAAGATTTATCAACACCTTCAGTGCAGGTTATAGTTACGCCAGTAGGTGGCAGCTAGGAACTGACTTTAAGAGTGAGTTAGAAAACAATTCATTCTGAAACCAAGCAAGGTTGTAAACAAGGGGGAAAAAATTACTTTGACGACACCTTAGAAGGTGCAAATGATTTTGACATTTCAAAGAGGTCAATCTGTTGACCAGCAGTCATCCCCTTAAAAAAAATGTAGTGCTCTTGTTAAAATAATACCATTCACAACCTATGACATCACTGGGATTTTTAGGTCTTACCTGATTTATGAGAACACCCATTTCACAATAAGATGTCCTCTCTCTGAGTTATAGGGACCAATGTGCTTTACAGGTAACATGACCACACAGCACACAAATGTAATAACAGTGTACTGAAGGATCGGAGGATCCTCAAATGCAAACTTGTGTGTTTTGTGCAACGAGAATTACGAATGTAACTGCGGTTCTGGGTTCTGGATGACCGCCAGAGGCAGTGCTTCACACTGAACGTTATCTCATCGCAGATGCACAGGTTGAGTCTAATACAAACAAAGTCCCTCGTGACCAGGATGACTCGGGGTCCTCCCCTATTTAACCCTGTGACTTCCTGCAGACTTGTCCCTACGGAATGTTCTCGTCCTGACTCCGAATGACAGAAAGCTCTGGCGGTCATCCAGAACTCATAGAACTGCAGTTACATTCGTAACTCTCATTCTATTTCGTTCTTTCTGACCGCCAGAGGCAGTGCTTCACACTGGATGACTTATAACCACAAGGTCACGAGGAGGTCCTGTTTACCTCTAAGAAGTTGAGGTTCCCAACAGGACAGCTGTTTCAAAAGTATCCGATACAGCCACATTAATCCTGTAATATTGTGAAAATGTGTTCATAGATGACCATTTAGCTGCCGCACTGATGTCACTTAGGGGGACACCTTTTAGTGCCGCCCAAGATGTTGAAATGCTTCTTGTTGAATTACATCTCACTCCCGATGGCAATGGACAGCCACTAGACTTATAAGCATGGGTGATAACCTTCACTACCCAATGTGGCAATCTCTACTTTGAGAGGGGCCGACCTTTCCTCGGCCCCCCCAAAGCAGAGAAAAAGTTGGTCTGATTGCCGAAAATCTTCTATGGCCCTGAGGTAGCCACGGAAAGCTCTTACCGGGCACAAGAGTCTGCACCCACTTCCTTCTTGTGAATCCAACCTTGGAGGATTAAATACTGCCAGCTCAACAGCCTGATTTCTAAACAGGGCAGAGAGCCTCTTGGGGAGAAATGCTGGGTTTGGCCACAACTTCACTACCAAACCATCTGCATTCCAGCGCATGCAGGTTGTGTTAACTGAGAATGCGTGGAGCTCACTCACTCGTTCAGCTGAAGTAATGGCCAAGAGAAAAGCTGTCTTCAATGAGAGCCACTTCAAGTCACTGTGCTCCAAAGGTTCTAATGGAGGTAATGTAAGAGACTTCAAGACAAGGCTCAGGTCCCATGAGGGTACCCTAATGATCTGAGGGGGG